TGCTGCCCTCAGCAGTGTATTTCAGTACATCTGCCTGTTCTGCTCCCCACTCTGTCTCTGGTGAATCCTGTCACATACACAACCTCCCCACCTCATACACACACACCTCTGGCATATACCAGTTCTGTATGCATAAAAAAAATAAAAATAAATCTTTTTTAAAAAGATTAATAAAACATGGACCCTGGCCTCCGGTAGTTTACAGTCTACTGAGGGATATGGCTAGAAAGAAAATAACCCTAATGTGAGATATTTATACATTTAAAGAGACTTTTAGTACTTAATACAAAAGACTGAGTCCAGTGGGGTTTTCACCAGGAAGAGCACATTTGGGTCAGAGCTCCTCTTTGAGGTGCTCAAAACCACACCAACTATTGGAATCCACTAATGCCTATTTTATCTTCTTTCAGGCCAATGAACTTCCAGCAGAATTAACTAAAAATGAACGTATATTGCGTCTACTCCGAACTAAAGAAGGTCACAGGAAGAGCTAACTTAGCTGTGTATTTGAAAGGTGGAAACAATCACATTGTCCAAAAAGAAATTGCTTTTCAAATAGTGTTGGAAATTCCTTTAGAGCGAAAATGCCCAGAATGCCCTCCCCGGGTCCCTCTGCAAGACTTGTGCTTTATGCACCAGTGAAGAGCGTAACAGCTCAGGGGCACCTTCCCCTCACTTCTGTACTTGCCTGCACCCTACCTGCTTCCATGGGGGTGTGGGGGTGTGGTTTAACCACACTAACTTGGATCTTTCAGCTAAACTCTAAGAGTTAAATACTCTAAGAGGGTTTTCAGGAGGGATTTTCAGCAGGGAGACAGAAGTTGTTCCTTTAAGAACACAGAATCAGTGCACTTTTGCTTTTGTGTTAAATGTAAGTGTGCTAAGAGATAGAGTTCCATCACATTTTATATAACTTTCTGTATGTCACTCCAGTGTAAAGTGTTTTCTTCTACCCAAGGAGCATAGCCATGCATATGATCAACCAGTGATCTGTCAAGTTACATTATTTAAAAGCCACTGCTGTCATTCCACCAGATGCTTGTCAAAGATGGACTGTTGAGCTATGATAATAACAAAATTGTTAATTTGTTAGTTGATCCTCATCTTACTTCAAATATGTCGATCATTTTCCCTAGTGTCAATATTGTAGGTTTGGTAGGATACAAGCGCAAATTTGGAAATTCAGAAAATTACAAACCACGAGAAATTTTGATTCTCTTTGAGCTTCGTTTTGGTTCTATAGCTGGGAATCTATTTCCCTTGCCATAAATAAATAGACTTAAGCTGTGACATATTACTAAGCTTCCAACTCCACATGGCTTCAATGACTATGAGGTCCTTGGATGAAATGTGATGATATATGCAAGTACATTGTGTTGCTATTAATATTGTGAGAGTATAATAGATATTCACCTATGCATGTTTTTGATCTTATTGGATCCAATAAAAAACTTCAGTTTTATTCCATTTGGGGGAAGGTGTCAAAATTTATAATCAGTGCACTTTAGAATCAATGGTGTCTAAATGCCTCACTCAGTCAGTGCCTAATTGCACACACACATCAAACCTTCTTTTTTTAGTCCACAATAATAAACACTATTGACATTTCTGTTACTTAAACACATCTTTAGTTTTCTTGTTGATGTTCTACTCTATTTTTCAGCGTATATTTTATGCAAGGACATGTTAAGATGGTAGGAAATATAATCCTAGCAGGCTTTTAAATCAACTTCCAATAATACTAAAACTGTTATCTTTAATTGGCAAATGATAGAATGTAACTTTTTAAAATTAGATATATCCTCTTAAAGTTATGATGAGTGCAACAAAAATCAGCTTATTTTACTCAGTATCACAGAAAAGCCAGTAACAAGCAAGCCACTGATACTAGATATGCCCTTTGCCCAATTAGCTATGCAGAAATAAAGCCTGCATTCTAATTGTGAGATAAAAAAATTCTGTATGTATTGCCAGAACACCCAAATATAAGCATTGATCACTAAAATGTAGTGCCAATTTCTTCATTGACTTTTTTACTCACTAAAGTTGTACAAACTGTATTTCCATGGGCACTTCATAAAAAGTATTCATTTGAAAAAATATATAATGTGGCTTTAACTGCTTTAGATTTTCTCCCTTAGTCCTTTTGCCAAAAATAGTCATTCGTTATGGATACAAATAAAAGTAATTGTGGATACTGGTTGTAAAGTTCCAAAAGGCAAATGGCATGAAATCAAAAACTTAATGTTTTTCACTAAAACATGTTGTCCTTGGGCCTATTCGTTAGGATATTTTAAGTGGATAATATTCTTATCTATATTAGGACCATAAAAATGAATCCAGTAGCTAAGGTTACTGTAGATTAAACATCTTAGCTTAGAAGGGTCACATTTGATCTAAGTGAAATTACAATATTATCCATGGCAAAGAAGAGGAGTAATCACTCACCAAAGACTGAACAAGAGGTCTGTATAGTAAAATTGCATTTTAGTTTGTACATAGGTAGATGATTCCTGTGTTCTGTTCATCTAATTCACAATTCAGTGTGGTCTGCATTCTAAGACTTAGAACTATCAACTCCTATGCAAATTGTTTCTTAAATGAATAATGAAAGTTTTTCATTACATCTATTTGTTTGATAACATATTCCATGTTCTAATTCAAAATAAAGTCAGTATATTACCCAATTTGCCTCTGCTGCTTTTTTCCTGTTTATTTTTCATCCCAAGTTATTTATGTGTGACTTCTAATAGCATGGAATTTAAGAGTGAATAATTCAGCACAGCTGCTAAACATACTGATCCTTGGGATCCTGACTAGATCTTTCTGCTTTTTTACTATGGAAACTGTGGTTTTGTTACAGCAAAAGGGGCACCCCTGAGCCCCCAAACCTGCCTGCTCTAAATAGGTTCTGCCATCCACCACATTAAGACAAAACATTTAAGATCTTTAATGGAAAAGAACTTTAATACAATTAGTGTGAAATACAAAAAAGACAAAGAATATAGTTTCTTAATCAAAAACCCAAAGTTGCCCATCCCCTTGTGGTCCAACCGAAAGGGATTGTTCCAAAGCAAGGCCTGAAATCCCACCACAAGCCAAAAGCACCTTCCATCAGGGATCTATGAAAAAGGGTCAGACACAGCCAGACAAGTCTGGAAGGAAAAGAGCAAAATCAAAATCAAGATAAACGCTGCCATACTGAACCTCCGCATGGGTCTCTCACCCACATCTGTTTCAACCAGCCCAGAGCCAAGAAACAAGAGCTGCTTCTCTTCATTTCTGTCTGCTCGCTGCGCCTCCCTCAGGTCTTCGACTCTCCATTCTCCTTTCCTTCCTCCTCAGTCTTCTCCAGATTCTCCTCTCTGCTCAGCTCCACCCTCCCTTGAATGGGGCAAGGAATCTCCCCTTTTCCTGAGGACCACCCTGTTACAGTTTCATTATTTCTACTACAGACAACTTTTGTTGTGATCCCAAGGTTTTTCATTTTATTCAGACAAAAGTGCCTTGTATAGTCACTGAAAATACTGAATGGAAACTCAATTTAAAAAGAAACTTTTTAAATTATACTGAGGAATAATTAACAAAACAAAAGGGCTTCCCCAGCTAGTTCATTCACACAAGATCACCTCACATATTTATATTTCTCTCTCTCTCTCTTTTTTTTTTTTTTTGAGGGAATGGGAACGGAATCATCTTAATTTCTGTTTTGTTGTTTATGGTGCTCCTGACTCTCCATTCCTATCCATTCTCGTATAAAATCACTGATGGTTTTGCACAATTTGTAGTAGGAAATAAATATTTGCAACAGTAACATCAGGAAACAGGAAAACTCCATGTCCATTCTGACCTTCTCCCCTCCTGCATCCACCTTCTACCAACAAGGATACATCTCATCACTGCCCTACAACAGGACAATTAGGGAAAAAGAACACTCACCCCCTTTCCCCCCCAAATACCAGGCTAATTGGAATCCAATAGAGACGCCTCATCTGGGGTTAGGCCTGCCTTATGGGCCACCCCTACCCCCAACCCCACCCCCACCCCCGCAGTGAGAGAAGGTCAGCACCTAATTCCATAACAAAGTGGTTTTAGTGCAGGAACTGGCTGAGCCTCAAAGGTGAGGAGTAAGCAGATTGTTAATAATAACACTAGAAATGGCCCCCACGTGTGTTGAGGTGAAGCTGAAGTAGCTTTAGCTTCTTAGTGCTGTGCTTTAATCTGCTGCACCACCAGGGAGAGCCCAAATTTGGTGATTTTTCTAAAAGGAATCTCAGGACTCATCATATAGTTATACTCATGACTAAGCTTATAGCAAAAGGACACATAGCAAATCAGAAAAGGACAGGGAAATAGAGTGAAGACAGAGAAAACCAAGTTTCTGAGACCTCTTCCAATGGATTAACACAAAATTGTTGGGAGTGACCAAGTGCAGAGATGTTACCAAGTGCGGAGAAGGGCAGTAACAATTAGGCCTTGCATCCAAAGGTGATAAGGCAGTAATAAACTGGGCCTTGCATCCAATTAACTGGGCTTTCCATCCAGGATGGGACTAAAAGAAGGTGATAACGACCTGGGCCTTACATTAAGGGACACAGCGATGAGTCACCCCCTTGGAATCTAAGTTTAGAATCTATATAAGAACCCTTCCCCCCCACAGGGCTGGCAGTAGCTGCGGACCCCACTCTAGGGGCTCTGTCTCAGCTGCTGCCTGGGAGTAATAAACTCTGCTTGCTCAGCCTTTCTGCCTCCCGTCTTCCTTTCTTGCGGCTGGTCACAGAAGTTTGGACAAAACAAAAATGTACCTCATTTCTCCAGAAACACACAGACATCATTGCAAGTATTGTCTACTGGGGAGATGCTTTGGAGACTCAATCAGCCTTTTAATTGCGCGCTGGCTCCATCAGCATCCTCTGCTTAACACTGACCAAAATTCCAGACTGGCAAGGGAAAAAGAAATGTTTGTTTGGCCTTACTGCATTTGTCTTGAAGTGATTCTAGTTGTGATTGGTAGAACTGTTTTCGCGAAACCCCTCCAAATACTAATTATTCGGGAGAGAACAGAAGGCCTTGACGCTGTTTTGTCATCAAGAACATTGTGCCATATTCTAGAGATACAAGATCTGTGTAGGTACAATCTAGATGGGGCTGTGAATAAATGTATTACTACCCTCATAGTCAAGGAGAGAAAATGCGTTCATCTGCACAGGTCAACAGTTTTGTAAGAGAGATTCATCTTACCATACAAGATACTAAGTCAGTGAGCCAGATGTGCTGAAGCTGGACTGTGGACACAAGGCCCCTGCCCCACTGGGGTTTTTCCACACCATTGTTCCAAGTGTGCTCTTACCCTTGTAATTACCAATGTTTCAAAAGATGGAGAAAAATAAAGCCAAACCAACAAAAACAAAGTTCTATGCTCTCTGGGAAAAATTAGAATAATTATATTTTACATTTCGCTGGTTGAGGGCTCAATCTGCCTCTTTACGCTGCTTAACTTGTGGGATACAATGAGCGCTAACCAGTAATACAGAGGGATTTTTCCAGACTCCCTGATTATACTTAATCCGCCATTAAATAATTTATGCATTTGTAAGTCTGAAAAGTATTAGTGCCCTTGTCCTTACTTTTAGCGTTACTTTACTAGGACAATTCTTAAATGTGTGTGAAGTCATGTTCTAATAATTAGAGAAATTTGAAACTTTCAGTTCTCACATACCTGAGAACAGAGGCTTTAATGTGTGTCAAGAGAAAGAATTTTCTCTGTGTGTCTTTGGTTTCTTCTTCCCTCACTCACTAGGATATTTCCCATTAATTTTTAATAAGGGGAACACTACTGTTGGTCCCACTTCTTGTTGTTAGACATTTAAGAATGACCTTAGAAAGGAAGTCTTCAGTGGCAGGAGTCAAACTCCTGTTTGAGGAAAAATTAGACCAAAACCAGGCCCAGGCAAAGGAACCTGTATCCTGTAGAGAAGAGAATGCCTGTATGAAGCACTAACTGCCAAGTTTCAATTCCCACATGAGTAGTATCCTAGCAGAGTGGAAATTACACCACAACCCATGGCTGACTGCCAACATAAGTATCCTTACTAGGGTGAATAATAGTTTGCCATAAGTCTTACTGACAATACCCCATTTCTGAGTCAGTTATAACTTTTGTTACTAAAGTCACAAGTTGTAGCTATAAGCTGTTTTAAATGAAGACATCTGTAAAATTTGGCTTGCCTAAATATAGTTTTAAAACTATTGAAGAACCCAAAAGAACTGAATGCCTATTTAAAGTAAAAGACATGTACAAGAATGTGCATGGCAACACTATTAAATTTTTTATTTATAACTCCATTTATAATAGCCCCAACTGGAAACAACCCAATTGTCTGTTTTGGTATTTTTATACCATGGAATATTACTCAGCAATAAAAAGGATGAACTATTGTTAAGTATAAATATGCATTATTCTCATAGACATGATGTTGAGTGAAAAAAAAAAAGACACAAAAGAATGCGATTCCATTTACTTGAAGTTCAAGAACAGGCAAAAACAAGTCATAGTGATAAGTCAGAATATTGGCTATTCCTTAGCTGAAGGAGGTGGATAATACTGATGAGGGAGATTTCTGAAAATGTTGAATGCTAAAAATGTTCTACATGCTTCCTCTGGGTGGTAGCTATATAAATTTATGGTAACCAGCTTCCAAGAAGACTCCCAGAACTCTCCTCCTCTGGTTGGTATTCCTCTCCTGATATAGTTCATCTCCTACATTGTATCAGGACTGGTCTTTGTGATCAATACACTACGGTGAAAGTGATGACATGACACTTTTGTGGCTAGATTATAAGACCCGTGGTGGCATAGTCTTATTCTTTCTTGGATCACTTACTATGGAGGAATCCAGCTGCCAAGCCTTAAAAATACTCAAGCAGCGCATGGAGAAGTCTAGGTAGAAAGGAACTGAGGCCTGTGGCCAGCAGCATCTAGCAAACAGATCCTCCATTCAAGTCTTACACAACTGACATTTGACCACACATCTAAGGAAACTTGTGAGTACCAAGATCTAACCAAGTCCCTGAATGGCAGAAACTGTGATATAATGTTTATTCTTTTAGTCCACTATGTTTTGGGGTAATTTGTAATGCAGTAATAGACAACTAATAGAAATGAACATTTAAAACTTGAGCTATAATACATGCAAGCTGTGTATACTTTGTATTGTGTACTACTCATCAAAAAGGTAAAAAAAAAAAAATCTATTACCAAAAATAGTCTCCAAAATGTTCCACCTAAAACTCCTTAGGAAGTTGGCAGAAGCTTTAGTTCAAAGTCTCATAGCTCACCAAATGTGTTGGTAATGTGTATGCTGATGGAGGAAGACAGGTGAAAACTGTTCACCAACTCCTAGGCTGCATTCAATTGTAGATCCTCCCTCCAACTTAGGCATTTCTTGCCCAGGCTGTTCTAGATGCTGGTTTTGGAACTTTGGGAAGGAAGGACATTCATTTACTGTTTGCCCACTTGAATCACTGCCTGCTGTGAAGTCTTCAGAACCACAGAAGCAAAACAAAAACAAAACCACCCTATATTTAAAGATATCAAAGTCATTTTATTGCAATGAAATTTTATTGACTTATTGATGCTTAGCCAATGAGGTCACACGGGCGAGGGAGGGTTAAAGAACATGTTTTATGGAGGAGTATGACCATCTGTGTTGAATGCTTATTCAGAGGTCAAGTGTGAAGAGACCAAAAGTCTTGTCATTAAACCTGGCATCACAAATACAAATAATTACCGTAAGAAGAGCAAGTATTCACTTGATTGCTTAGATTCTGGGGAGGTAGAGGTGGTTGGAGAGAGGCCTGGGCAGGGAAGGTTCTGGTTCCTATCATCATTCTTTGCAACAAAATAATTCCAGATAAGTTATTCACTAAAAATCTAGAAGATAACATGGAGTTTTTTTTACAACCCTGAAAACTAGGAAATTAATAAAATATCTGCAACACATGTGCTGGATGAATAGGATAATTTTTAGAGCTTTTACAAATCAATTGGAGAAAGAAAATGTAGACTGCTATCTCTTTGAAAGTCAACTGAAAATCATCAAAAGCAAAACTCATATTTCCTTTAATACAACAATACATAAAATTTCCCAACAGTTTTAAGTGTATACCATTGCAAAGACTTGGGTACAATTTTGTACATCACATTATTGTTTCCAATAACAAAAGTGACCAGCTAAATGCCCAAAAGGAAAATGATTAATAAATTATGTAATGGAACAACAAAAGCTATTAATATGATTATTTCTAACCTTAACATTCCATCTGCTAAGTAAAGAGAATTTTGTCTTGGGTCAATGTTCTCCTCTCTCTCCCTAAGGGAGCTTTCAGACTTCAATGATGCAGAATCATAAGGGCCTGGAAAAATGCAAAGCTTTGTGGAATCCAGAAAGCTCAGGAATATGAGAAACCATATGGAAAAAGAAAGGTGACTTTATGCAGTATTGCTGGAACCATACAAACTGTTCCTATAGACCAGAAATTTGAGACATATTTTCCAATACTTTTTGGTGGGTGAACTATATTTCATTGAGTTAGGCACTATTCAGAGATTGGCCTACATTATACTGACTTCAAGAATGTCATATACACAGGATGAAATCCTATAGAGCTAGTATGAGTAGTGACAGAACAAAGCATATTGGTAAATGTGAAAAAGCAAGTTGCAAACTACATGCTGCATGTTTCAATTTCAAACACAAACAAGTTTCCTGGAGGATTTTTCTGCAGTTACAAAGATGCACACATCTAGTAATCATTTTACTTCTTTTTTTTATTATTGTGTAGCCAATGAATGATATTTGTTAAATATAATAGTGGCATTGAGTGTTATTTTAAAAATCCAAAGTTCTCTCTTAGGATCTCAACCATGTTAAAACAAATATACCACAAGGAGGTATACATATCACACAAGGATATGTATTATTATCACATGGAGGAATATATTTGTGTGTATATATATCACAAGAAGAAAATATAACAAAATAGATTATAATAGATTATAATTATATTATATATTATATTGTTATTATTATAATAGATTATCTAGAGAAGTTGAAGAAAGTACATAGATTTATTCTGATCTCTAAACTTTTGCATATTTTCAACATTTCTTCCACAAGCATGGATTACTTTATTAGCAAAAAATCTTTCTTTTAGAAATTAATAGTTTATTATAAAAATATTTCCTAGACTCTTGAGTATTGAAGCTGTATGAAAAACAGGACAAGGACAAAAAATACTGCTAAAAGATAGTTTTGCTAAATGTTTTGGTTAATAGAGAACATAACTTGTGGGGCATGGAAATTTTTGCCAATCCTATCAATAGAAATACTTTACATGGTGCTTGAAATTTTTTACTCAAATCAATTACAGTTTACTGGTTCTATTTTTTTCTCCACAAGGACTTTGCTAAATTGGAAGAATAACTATCCCACCAAGAACCAGAGAATACATTACAGCAGTAGTTCTTAAACTTGAGTGTGCCTTGGAAACACCTGTAGGGCTTGTTAAACACAAATTGACACTCAGACCCACAGTTTCTGATTCAATGGATCTAGGGTGGAGTGGGGAATTTACAAGTCTTGCAAGTTCTCACATGATGCTAATATTGCTTGCTTAGTGTCAATAATTTGAGGACACCTGCATGACAGAATCTATTTTAACACCTGAGGAATCACCAGAAGTGGGAGAACACATGTCTGATGAGGGCCAAGAAATGGTGCTGAAAGATCTAGTCTAAAGGTCCAAAGGAAATCCTTATAATTTCAGTGCCCCGTCAGCCACAGTGCCAAGCAGGTAGGAGAGCAAGGTTATAACTAAGTCCGTTTTTCTGTTGTTGTGTAGGGATGGAAATGTCACCTACTTCGTTGTACTACCTAAGACTGGGTTTGATCGTTGCTAGGTGAATAATGATTGTGTATTACTAAAGATTTAGTCTTTTTATTACAACTTGGCTTCTACTGTCTGGAAAAGGGACTCCCACTTTCATTCCCTTTACTTCAAAATGGAAATAATTGATACATTTTAATGATCTCAATAACTGAAATCTGAGAGGAAATGTTACCAGAAATGCATATAATAAAAGTAAATGCAATGCCAATATATATGTGTATGTGTGTATATATATGTATATATGTGTATATACGTATATATATGTGTGTGTGTAAGTTTCAAAAATGAAGACGCTTCTCTTTTGTATTACCATTTGACTCTTCACCAAGAACTTAAAACTGCGCTCTAGTCCTGTCCGGCTCGCCCCTCCCCTCTCCCAGGGGTCTTCTCTCTGCCATGCTCGGCTCCACAGGCAGGTGGACACGCGTTTCTAGAGCTCTAGGGAAAGTAGGCTGAGCGGACCGAAAACCAAGATTGGGTGACTCAGGGACAGCGCCCACCTTCACGCTCCACCCTCGCGCTCTGGGACTGCGACGCCACTGGGTTAGGCCACTGGGAGGCACCGCCGGGAGCGGCGGTACAAGGGCCTGGGCACGGATTCCTTTTGAGTGACTGGATTTGGGAAGAGACCATGTTCCGAGTGCCAAAGGGGGACGAAAATAGCGCCTATTCCGTTTACGAGTGGGATGGGGCTTGGCGGTGGGGGGCGGGGGTACAGTCTCCAAGTACGTCCCTTTGGTAAAACCTGGCCTATCATCTCCCACGGGAAAGACAAAAAGGGGAGAAATGAGTCAAAGCATCGAAACCACACGTTTTTGGCACAACCCCAGCAATGTCCACCCAGAACATTCCAAACGTTCTGTTGCCTGGGTTTGGGAGTCCCTGGCCACGTGACGCGCTCCCAGTGCGGAGCTGGGCAGTATTGGGACACTCGGAGACCCCACTGCAAGCGCGGGAGTCGGATCCCGCCCCGCCCCAGACCCGACTAGGCCCCGCCTCTGGCCCCGCCCCCAGGATACTGGGCATCCGGGCAGTGGCACTGCCCAGAAAGGGGCGGAGCCTATGGCGCCTTCGTCCTTCCTGATCTGCGCGCGCAGCCCGCCGCCTGCGCCTACTCCCTCCCTCTGTTGGTGCAGGAGGCTGAAACAGCCCGGGACTCCGAGCGGAGCGGAGCCCAGCAAGCCCAGCCCTGGCCGACGTCTGCGCCCCAGCAGCATGAACGCGCGCGGTTCAGTCCTCGTCCTCCTGTTGCTGCTCTGTCTGGAGCAGGTAAGTGATCACGGGCGATCCAGGTGGCAGTCGGGGACGAGTAGGGGCCGGGAGTCGGGGAGGGCTGGCAGTGCAGGGACTGGGGCGCCGCCGTCCCCTAAGGGGACCCAGGTCCTTCGGGTCCCCGGAAGGTCCCCCACCTCTCCGTTTTCTTTCCTGGCCACGGATTTTTCCCTGGTGGTCTACAAGAGGGTGGCATCTGGGTGCTGTTTATTTGACCTGCTTTGAGTTTATTTCAGCTCTGAATACTTCTGATGTTAGGATGTGGGATCAGAGAGGAGTAAAGTGGATAGAGAGAGGTAGAAATGTCAGTTACTTAACCTGCCTTTTAAAATGATTCTGCCACAAGCGCAGTTTATAAATTAATGTAGACGATCCGATCACTTTCTCCTGCCCCTTTCCTCGCCTAAAGACGCAGATGGGAAGGAACGTATTGAAAGGAAACAACTCTTCCCAGAGGTCCAGATTGCCATAGCCCTACTTAAATCAACTTGGTTTTCTAAAGAGTGCAGGTTACTTATCAACTCACTTTTTTACATCTTTGTAAACTAAGGCGCCCACGGCAGCCGGCGACTAATTAATGTTCCTCGTCTCATCATACTGGCTGAGATTAGGATGGGGCCAGGAACTTGTCCTGTCTCCCTAGGTCAGCTTCATAGCTTGGACAGAAGCACCACACTGCTCTTCGTGTGTTTACATTTTTCTGTCTTAAAACTGTGGTGGTCTCGGGTGATATGGTAGTGGGAGAGATTTACCGGAACTGTATCTGTACAAACATAACGATATAAGATCGTTAAAAAACGATTTAAGAAAATGTTGAAGCTTAATAAAAGATACAACTGGACATCTGAGGCATGTGTAAGGGTGTAGTGCTGATTAAAACAGATCAAGGTGAAAGAGTGGGCCACTGGGAATCCCTTGCCTTTGTGCCTACTCATAGGCATCATTAGTGAGAGGGTGGTGAATCAGAGCAGAAGGCAGATAGAGTTTCCCTGGACTAGAGAAACCTCTCCTTAAACTGTGTAGTTTTCAGAAGGGGAAAGGCAGTGTTGACCCAGTAAGGGCCTAAAAGCCAGAAGAGCTGTGGCTGCTTCCTCCCGAAGTTGCGGGTAAGGGGTCCCCTGCAGTGCCTGCTTGTTGGGAAGAGCAGTATCTGTTTGCAAAGGGAAGCAAAGAAAAGCAGATTTCAGGGAGGCAGTTTGGGATGGGGTAGGTCATTCTGTGGCTGTGGGCACATTACTCTTTCAAGCTTCAGTGTTCTGATGATAAACTATACTGCAGAGGATTTGGGGGGGTTATTGAATAATGTGATATATGGAGACACCTCATCACTGTAGTAAAAACTCAAGAAATAATCAGTTATGTCTTAAAGAAAGTACAGCTGTTCCGTTTCCCTAGTGTTTTAGATCAGGATCTGGTTGGCAGGCTTCACATTGCTAAGAAGCTTTAACTTATCTCTCAAATCCTTTTTCCTCCAGGTATTCCAAGACTAGTCATGGTACAGAGTGCCTCTTCTCCTAGGACTTTGGGATAGGTCAGGGATTGGTCATGAGTCTTGCAAAATGCCCAAAAGCCTTGAGATTATAAATCTTAACTGGAAGCACTCATGATATTTAAAAAATTAACTCGTGTCCACAGGGGCTTTTAGTATACCTTGACAGATTTGGAGGAGAGAGGTCCTACTTTTAGAATTCTTAACAATGATAGCAGGTAGCAACTCACCTGGGTTCAGTATGGGCACTAGTAAAGTTCTGTGATGAAATTAGTGTTTTGTAAGGTTTCAAATGCATTGAAAGTAAAGAGAATTTTGCTTAATTTTTCATTTTTATAGATGATGAATAAATACTAATAGACTTTATGATTTTTAGACCTTGAGATCATCCAGATAACATGTACAACTTGTCATATTATGGTCTTTCATGTAGACATGAAAGACCATAATATGACTTTTCTTAAGGAGACCAGGAATGGGTTACACTTTCTACCAGAAAGCATTGAAGAATAACTAAGGGAAATTTGAGCTGTTGTGGGTAATCTCCCACTCCTTAATTGATGCTTTGAGTAGACATTTTACCAACATAAGTAATTTTAGGAAAATGAGGCTTTTTATTTTAGTGAGTGGGCAGAAAGAAAACGATTTGCTGAATAGGTCTTTGTATTCCCTCAGTGTTTGTCATATCACCCAGAACAAAGGCTCCCTCTGGTCATGAAGACAGCACGGTCTCTCTTTCCTGGGGAGCCCTTGTCCACCCTCCCTTCTTCGTGAAAGGAGTACTTTTCAGGGTGTTTTAATGATGACACGTTACCTGCTGCGGAAGCCGGGTTTAGGCCGTCTCTATTCTGATCACAGGGATCCCCCCTCTGCCCTCTGTCCTTTCACCCACAGCTTTGTGAACGGCTTCATCTCTTCAGCCAAATGAAGCTGCTGCTAAACTCTGTCCATCTTCCAAGGTCCAGTTCAAATGTTGCATTGTCTATAACATTTGGGAATCCTTTCCGCCTATGTAGACGGCCTTCCCTCTGAAGTTCTAGATCTTTGTGTAAACTGCCACGGTAGCATTTACTGCCTGGCAGAAATCTTTGTGTAAAAAGAGCTGGGTGTGTGTCTGGCATTTTATCTTAACCAAAGTGGTCTTGGGCAAGCCAGTGCCCCTGAGGCTTCCGTCTCCCACTCCACAGACTCAGTCAACAACTATTTCTACTTTCTAGGCTGTTTGTAGAAAGATGATTTAAATCCAACTACTAATTTGCAGTCTCCATGAGGGCAAGAATTTTACTTTTACTGTATCCAATATCACCAAAACTTTTCTACTCCTCTAAATTCCCAGATCACCAGGCTTCAAAATGAGTTTGGATGAAATGAGGACGGGGTTCAGAGGTCAATAGAGATCAGAATTGGATTGATTGGTGGTTTCTGGGTGATAGAAATGGTTCACTGTGGCCCAATAGTTCTTCCTTTGTGTGGACTATGCCTCTTATTTTCAGTCTTTGGAATATTTGCTTTGGCAAGAAAATTTGAAAAAAAAAAAAAAAAAATCCAACACTATGAATGTGATTTGCAGAGCATTTGAAAGGGAAACTTTAAAATTGTTCTTGGTACTATTCCTTAGCCCACAGAGGAACTCAAATCCCTGTTATTCACTAATTTCGCAAATACGGCTCACTAAACTACTAGAACATGGTCTATAAATGCAGAGTGCTGTGCAAATGCTACTATCCCACCTGTAGTGGATGGAAAGAAGGGTGGCTGTCAAAAAAAATTACAGTGCATTGGAAGTATTATAATAGAGATAAGTACAAAATGTTGCTGGGGTACTTTTTGTTTGTTTTCTGAGCTTTGCTTCCAAATAGACAAGAAAAAAAACTAGAAAATAGGGGTTAACAGCAGTAACCTAATTGTTATTAAAAACCATTCAAGTATATACTTAAAAAAGGTTGAATTTTATGGTATGTCCATTATCTCATAGCTTTAAAAATGATGTTTGAGATTATAAGAGACTAAAGCAACATGAGTTGCCTGATTTTTGTGTAGTACCCATTGCCATAACACACTTGACTTGTTCTAACCTCACAGAACCCTACAAGGTAGGTGGATACTGTTTTTCCTGTTTTACAAATGTGGCTATTCAGGCTCAAATCTGTTCCAAAATTGTGTGGTTTGTACAAGCTACGTGGGGGCTTGAACATGATTTTTTTTTTTACTTCTGTGTACAAATTTCTTCAAATTCAAGATATTTTTACCACATTATTCACTTTAGTTAAATGGTTTTTCAGCAGGTGTTCCACTTAGCCAATAAGGCATCTAATTCAAGGCTTGTACCTGCTCCAGTACAGTCTCTCCAAAAGCTACTGATAATACATCAGGGATCGGTTTAGCCTTCTGCCCTGCTCCATATAGAGGGTGGGTGGTCCAGTGAGGAAGAGCCAGGTCACGGGGACCTGAGCCACATATGTGGGGAAGAAGAGGCTGGAAAGGCTGTCACTTGTCTGTGTTTTTCAAGTCTTCTTGGCGACTGCACCCCACCCTAGTTCTCCGCAGGCCTCCTCTTCAGGATGGAGTCAGGGATAGAGTTCAGATTGTTAGAATCCCTGGCTCTGGAGCTTTCCTGCCTAGTGGTCCGCCAACCCCTAGTGCACGAGATCTTGGTGATAAGAGAGGGTGAGGTGCATTTTGGAGCATCGTCATTTAAGAGGTTACCAACCGTCAGTTGTAGCCGGATGCTCAAGAGTAGGGTGACTGTGGCCCCATTGGACCAGCTCAGAGATCACTCTTCCAACAAGGGGATCTGACCCTGTACCCCACCTGCCGAGGGATGGCTAAATGGAGATTAGAGTGGAAGAGGGATGGTCAAGGGCAAGAGGAAGTGAGTCTTAGCCCGACAGCTGCCTAGAAATGACTTCTAAAGATGTAAATGCCCTCATCACTTCTACAAGTGAACAGGCCTGTGGAAAGAGGCACGCTTGTGTAGGATTATAGTAGATGGGACCTCCCATCTCAGGTGCATGGTGAAAATCTGAGGAACAATCTGTGTACTAACCAAGCTGGATTTGAACCATGCAGTAGCTGGGGGGCGAGGTGATGGTGGGGGCTTGGGGGAATTGTCAGGAAATAGAATGTTTAACTTGGCATTCAGAATCTTGATTCTCATTAGAGGTTTGGCCACTTAGGAGTCACATGACCTCAGACTATTTTCTCTGAGCCCTAGTTTGCTTACCTGTAAAATGCTAAGCTACTACTCTCACCCCACAGAGAGCCTAAGGCGGCAGTGAGGGAGACACCACTGTCTGGCATGTGGTTGAGACTCAATAAATGCTTGAATATGAGTAACTACTTCAGCAGAGTTTTTCAAAGGCAGCCTGGAAAGCAGGATCTGTTGCTGATGTTGGGAGCTTCCCCACAATGTGTTTTGATGGAGTTCCCTATTAAAGTCTGATAAACTATTCCTGTTGTTGAAACAAAAACTTTCCAGTCATAAACCCAATGATTGAATTCTGGAGCA